TCTTTTTCCTTTTTCATGAAAACTCAACTTTTAGGCCGGAAACCCTCTACCTTCCTACCATCTTATAGTGATGAACAAAATCGGTGATTTGCGTAGACCTAAGTTGAAACCAGATCAAGAGCGGTTTTTGGAGATCGGCGAGACTGAGAGGAATACATGTATTAGGTTGTCCGGAAATTAATGCCCGGTTTGAATTTCAACCGCAATAAGTCATACACCTCTCAATTCTAAATAGGATGCAGAGTACCATTCGATAGAGCAAAGCAAGCTCTACAAAAATTTCATCATGCTTTTGCAAGAGCTCTCATCCACCTCGAGTTTCGAGCCAAAAACTAAAAAGACTCAGCAGCCCGAAAAATCGAAAAAAATCGTAACTCAGTTCACAAAAATCCTACAAAAATTCCTACTTGCTCACGTAAACACTATCCACATAAAACATCCATATACGCCTTTGCCGTATTTTTCCCTCCTTTAGAAACCAAGAAAACGGAAAATTTTCGTGCATTTGCCAAAGTGATGCTGTGCCATCCCCACATAGGTAGTTGTATACCACAAGCCTGTAGAAGTACAGACTTGAATTTTCAGCTCTTTACAAGCTTTAGATCTCGAGAAATACCGAATATAGCTTTCCTTAGTTGGGTGGTCCAAGCTAAAATTCAAATTTCTTGAGAACTAAAGCTTATAGAGAGCTGAGAATTTACGTTTGTACTTCTACAGGTTTGTAGTATACAACTATCTATGTGGGGACGGCACAACACGACTTCGGCAAATGCACGAAAATTTCCGCTTCTTGATTTCTAACAGAGGAAAAAATACGGCAAATGCGTATATAGATGTTTTATGTGGATAGTGTTTACGTGAGCAAGTAAGAATTTTTGTAGGATTTTTGTGAACTGTGTTACGATTTTTTTTTCAATTTTTCGGGCTGCTGAGTCTTTTTAGTTTTTGGCTCGAAATTCGAGGTGGATGAGAGCTCTTGCAAAAGCAAGATGGACTTTTTGTAGAGATTGCTTTACTCTATCGAATGGTACTCTGCATCCTATTTAGAAGTGAGAGATGTATGACTTATTGCGGTTGAAATTCAAAACGGGCATTAATTTCCGGACAACCTAATATTTGTAACTAGCATGCTCACTTCCCCCCCCCCCCCTCTATGCCAACTCCCAGCCAAAGCTGTAGCCAAAGTTTGCAAAAAAGCAACATGTTCGATATCGATCATCAACGAAAAACAGTCAGATTGGTTTAGAAATGGAATTTTCTACTGAGGGCATTCATGCAGATATAGAGGCTATAAGTTCATATGAAACATTCAGTTTTGAGTACAAGACAAGGTTTTTGACGAAAACATAGGAGTGGCGGCTAAGCATGTAGAATGCAACAATTCAGCATCGGGCTCTTCTAGCTTTCAATACCGGTGCTTACATACAAGATGATACGTGTAACGAGGTGAGCCCATGATTCGTTAGGCTTCGGGCAGGCTTCACGCGATTTGATCGTCGCGACTCAATCGCCGACATTTCCATTCATTTTCATTTCACATTCAAAAATTTCGGGCTGGAAAGGTATCACAACCGAAATGCAAGTTATTCGGCATGGAATGATGTTGTAACAGTTGTCTCGTCGCGATTCAGTCGCGACGATCAAATCGCGTGAAGTCTGTCCGGGGCCTTACGCTAAAGCTGGGTACCGACAGTATTACAGAACCACTTTAGAAAATTCCGTAACTCACGCGATTGTCAACTTAGTGTAGAATTTGTTGAAAAGGTGTAAACAGCAGTTTTGTCATCTGCGAAAACGAGCCTATCTCTTTTTCGAAATTATGGGAAAAAAGAGTTTTCAAGGCTGCCCTAAACTAATCTACAAGTGTACTTCTTGACCTCCATACTTCTACGAGAAAACACAGCCAAAATGTCAAACACTGCTCTTCGAGCTGTGTCTGCTGAAAAATCAAATCCGCTTATTTGTTTTAGTTTAAAAATAATTACACATGTAATTTGCTTCTGGAACTTGTATCCATCTTATAGAGGCTTGGTGACATACCTTCGATAGTCAAGAGACAAGGGCTAGAAAGTGATAGTTGTTTGAGTTCTTGCCCCCTATAAAAAGTGAAGGTTGTTTCAGAAAAATAGACGAAAATTTAGAGATACAAATAAAGTTAGAAAACTTAGAAAATTCTAAAGCAGAGGTTAGCACATCACCAAATCTGAAACCTTAACTTGGTGGTTTCCTACGCAGAGTTTCGTCTCCAGGATTGCCGGTTAAATTGGGTGGCAACAACAACAAAGTTCTTTTCCAGTCAAAAAAGCTGTTTAGCTGTGGCGTTAGTTGGGAGACCGAAAGAAGAAGAACTTGTCAACAACTCAATTGGACATGTTAAACATGTCTGTAAAGTTGTGTTGCACATCGACGCCAATCTAATTTTCTAATGCGTCCTTTAAATTTTCACCCCCCCGCATAGTCGTTTCGTACGCTGCGACGTTGTCTGGATTCTTCCGCTCATCATTCTGAGCAAGTATCGTCCAAGCTGGAAAAAATTCGCTGCAAAAGCACAGAAAGAGAACAAGGTAAAGAAAAACGCCCTTATTTTTCACAAAAAAAAACCGGCATAAGCAAAGAAGTAACCTCGGCGACGTTGTCTACATCATAGACAAAAACAAGACCTATAGAATGCACAAAAAAACCGAGTGAAAAAAGTTAAACTGAAGAAAAAACAAGAGGTTTTCGAAAACGCCGTTTTTCGAGACTTTCTCGTTTAAATCCTAAAAAGAAGTTCCGCGACGTTGTCAGCGTGAAAATAGAGATCAAGAGCTTTAATATGATATATAGATTATCGAAATTGGGCTCCGAACAACGAAGAAAAGGGTACCAGAGCCAAATGCCCCGCGCCCCGCATTTGAGGTAGCGAGGTAGCGCGCAGCGCGCGGAGACGCAGACGAGCAGCGGAGACAGACCAGAGCCGACGGGGCATTTGGCTCTGGTCGTGGATCTTCGCAGGATCTCAACGAAATCCTGCAGAATTATATATCGTTGTGATCCTTATGAGACGGCCGGGAGCACTGACAACGTCACGGGTCTTGAAAATCACTCCATAACGAGATAGACCAGCATTCATATGGCGACTCTTTGCGCAAGATTTGAGCGCAGTTTTTCGTTTTTATTGAACTCTAGCGGCTTTAATGAACTTCCAACATTCAACCGCAGTTCAAAGAAAGGTTAATTGAGGAATTTTTCCCTAGTTTTTGATTGAATTTTTAAATAAAAACCTTTTTCTCAACAAAAAAGGCCATAAAAATGCAATCCTTCGGTTTTTTTGAGTTTCTTTTGAATGTCATTGCTATATTTGCCTCATTTAAATCCATCCCTATACGGTTAAGTCATTAGTTATGTCATAATGTCCGGGGCTTCGCCCCGGATGACTTCTGTACTTCTCCCCAGGTGAAGGTTGTGTTCTATCATGACGCTCAAAGTGAAGGTTACCAGAGTACATGGCTCTATGTATCGAAGATATGCTTGGTGATGTAGTTTCTAAAGTTTCGCCGTTGGAACAAACCTGACATCAACCTAACCGCAGACCTGCAGTGTACTTTCTGCCTCATTGCAAGGTAAAGTAAAATTATTCTTCGAACAAAAACGAATCTGTACGCTATCTCACGGATCACAAAGTAGTCCTTGCTTCGCTTGAAACATAAGTTACGCAAAGTAATGGTGGTGTTACGCAATTCCAAGAAATCTTATAAAGCCACCTTGCTTGGATTCAGCGATGTCATTCGCTAAAGTGAGCAGCTGTTTGCATTCGTCTGTTAGCACATGATCTTGGTGATTTGCAGAGCCAGAATTGACTTTGAGGCTTGTTGCCATCAATTTCTGCAGGCTAATTTCCCAATGTGCCTGCATGCTAGGATCCATAGAAATTTGTAACCATGGTCTATGGACTCCCATTCATACAAACAATGGCTTTTCTCTTTACGCTCATAAAAACGTCACAAACAAAGTTTGAAGGCAGAACCCCCAGTTTAAGCTTGCGGTTAGTTCGATGGGTTTGCTTCAACAACAAAAAATCAAATTTACTGCTGATTACGTCATTTAGCTAGAAGGTAGATAAAAGCCCTCGATTCAGAGCCAAGCGAAATCTGCAGAGGTTTTTATTAAAACGCAGTTTTTAGGAGCAAAATACGTGCGAAAGTATCTTTGAACCAAGAAAAGATGGGTTTTCATAAAGGTACGGCACACGACAAAACAACTGGTCAACGCTTTTGAATGTGTATGTACCTGAAAAATTTCGTAAGCTAGCAACTGCTTTGAAGAATAGAAACTTCAGGTCCAACTGTTTTTTGACCAGTCTCATCAGAATTTTGATTGCTTCCCCGAATAACCAGACGAAAGCGAAGCCTTTTTTGTGATTGAAAGTAGGCAGGTATGCACGCAGCTGTACCAGTTGTTTTTGAATCAGTGAATGGCAACCGATTGAGTTGCAGCATTTTTTGGTGAACTTCCATATAGTCTTGGCCCGCACTGTAGTAAGTTGTTGAAAGTACCCTAATTTCACCCGTACAAGGCGCGGGGTACTTTTTCTTGACCGAACAGCCCAAATACACCAAAGGTTTGCGACTAAAGGACGCTTTACCGTGCTGTATATTGCTTACCAGAATCGTGCGGCATAAATGTTTTCCAGATACAGTGAAAAGGCTGAGCGGCTCGCTTGAAAAAAAGAAGAAGGTGCGCCTTGTACGCTTGAAATTAGCGTACATTCGCGCTTAGTACACAACTTGCAAAGATCACACAGCGCACACAATCTCTTGAATTTTCACCAGACAGAAGCAGATAAAAGAACTAAAAATAGGTCAGGACAATACGTCGCCGGAAGAGAAGGTTTCGCGCAAACACCTGCAACAAGTACGCATCTTATAGATGCAAGAGGTGTGTAATTACTGCAAATGTCTGCATGGGACATCCCCTTACGGCAGCACATTGTTCTCTATCTGCTAAAATCCACAACTCACAATTGTCATCTTGTCCTCTTTTTTCGGAGTCATTCCACCACGTCTAGCACTCTGAAATGAACCGAGAGATGAGTGGAGAAAAGTGGTCGGTGCAAAAGTTCCCTATGTGCGACAAACGCGTGTAAATGTTGAGCATGAATTATCCCAACAAACACCAAAATCTCTTATCGTGATCCACCTCAAGAATGAAGCCGAATTGAAACGTACTTAATCTCAAAAAACGATTTCCGTTAAGAAAACTGTTGCAAGCATCCCACTCGGCCATTATTTAGTAGTCGCATGATGAGTACTTGGTTGCAGTCGCTGGGGTTTTTTTGAGGCCAGAAGTTAAGAAACAAAGTTGGGCTAAACATATGATGTCGTCTTCTTCAGTTTTTTGTGTTGAAAGTGATATTTTTCGGTGACTAAGGTACGTACAGGAACATTTGCATGAGCACACTCGTCCTCCCAAAGTTCGTGGACTACAGGTATACATGTGAAACTAGAGCGCGAGTGGCCAATCTTTGGTCATTTTTTCCCTCAATATGAGTGAAAAAATAGCGATTACAATAATGAATGCCTGTGTGCGCGTAATGTATGCTGAACAAATAGGAAATTTGCAGGATTTTTCTAAGCTGAAACCAATAAGCCTAGATTTTTTTGATTTTGATTTTGAAATTTATGCGGGCTGCGATATGGGCGGATATGTGGTATAGTTTTGTAGAGCATGCTTTGCTTTCGAATGGTGCTCTCATGCGTTTCTTATTTCCAGACTGCGGCGTAGCAGAAGAAACGCTCATCACTTTTGCATTAACCTAATATTCCGATTTCAACGCACTTTCAATGAAATAACAAGTGTTTCGCATTCATAACGGGATTTACTCTTACAATTTGTCAACAACTAAATCACACCTCAGAATCAATTTTATTAGATTTCTTACGACTTAAGAGTACATGAAGGTTGGAGATATGAGTCTGAAATCATTTTTTTTTCAATCGGCACCATTGAACCAGAGCTGCAAACTCTATTGAAATACGGAATAGTAGACAAGGTCATCACGTTGTCTCAGAACGACTTTTTGTGCTCACCAAGAAGATTTGGTTAACTGGTCTACGGATGTGGAGATGTGAATATGGTCAAAATGAAAATGAACACAAGTACCGGTGATTCCATTTTGTGCTCTTGTTTCCAATGTAGAGCACTTTTCCTTCGGCCCGCAGATCTCGCAGGACGTCTCACTACCTGGACTTCTTCGAATTCTGTTTTCGCTAAGGAATCTGATCCTCTTTTCTTCTTTCTTAACAAAGAAAACTCATGAAAGTGCACACTGAAGCATACGGGGTTACTTAGGCGCTGCTTCTTCACTCGCTTTGGTTCTAAAGGAACGTTCCTTTTCATGAAAAGTTTTGAAGAGTTTCCTTAGTACTTCGATCCTTCTGCATAAATCTGGAACACACATATTTCATACATCACTTTATTGGCAAGGTCAAAAGAATTTTGAAGGGAACAAAAATGGGAAAGCGAATGACTTTTCTGGTGTTAATAATCTGCCTGAGCTTGCTTGGTCGACGTCCAGTTAGATTTTAGTTGCAGGTTTCGTGATTTTCGCGTTTTTCGCGTTCCCCATTTCAAAATTTCAAAAGCACTAAAATCGCAAGAAACTTGCTTTTTGGATGTCTTTTTGGGAAGCGCGGACGAGTGCAGAGGGGCAGGCTTAGTTAGTTGCAAGCATCAAGGAATCCTAAGGGTAAAATTTACTTGAAAAAGCAAACACGTATTCACAAAGCCCAAAGTATGCTTAACCTCAACGTAATATACCTTAACATGTAGGCGACAGTGTCGCGCAATGGTGCGCGACAGGCAATCTGTCCCTGTGGACGATGTCGCGCAATGGTGCGCGACACCCTCAATACCAGTTCTAATATGCACAATGATTCCAATTTGTGTACACATAATCAATTTGGGCTCAGAAGTTTTTCATGTTGGCCCTGTCCCTCTTTTGGCAAACTCCGCCCACTCCGTTGCCCTTTACAAGAAACTTTTTTCGTTCTCAAATCGCATAGAAAAGCTCGTAGATGACTGGGGAAACTGGGGAACCTTAAACAATCTTAATTTTGACCCCCCCCCCCATTATGCAGTATACTTGGGTAATTCGGAAATTTTTCATCGAATGAATGAATATCGAATAAATTCGAAAAGGAAAAATTTCGAATAAACGAATGTCGAATAAATTCGAAAATAAAAAATCTCGAATAAACGAATATCGAATAAAATGAATGAATTCCGAATAAATTCGAAAAATCAAAAATATCGAATGAATGAATATCGAATATATTCGAACATTGGAAGTCGAATTTCGAATAAACATTCGAATGATTTATCGAATACTAGAGCAACCACATCTCAAACTTGCCGACATATGTGGCTAAAGCCGATCCATTCATAATCAGCACCCTCGTATCCCCTATACCTACTCCTAGCTCAGAATTTTCCAAAAATCGCTGAAATCGATAAAATAGATTTCGGTTAATTACAATCAGCATCCTCATTTACCCCCCCCCCCCCCTGTAGCAACTCCCAACCTCGTACAAGATTTTCCAAAAATCGACAAAGTCGAAAAAGTAAATTTTTATTCATAATCAGCACCCTCCTTACCCCCTTTACCAACTCCCAGCCCCGTAGCTCAAACTTCTCTAAAAATCGATAAAGTTGGTCGGTTGGCAACTAGTCTACACATCAGCAAAAAAAAACATATTTTACCCATTATTGGACGATCTTAAAAAGCAGTCAATATGAGTTCTTATGCTGTGCCCAAAAAACTCTTCTTCAGATGGTCTGCAAGAGATTAAGGTACACTAGGAATAACTTTATTTCTTATCAGCATCAACAATGTAAAAGCAAAGTGCTTGGTCTACTTTCTACATGACTGGGATACTCTTCTTCCAAGTAGTGTAGGAATGTATGATGGACACAAGCAAAACATTACTTCACTTAAAATCCACATGATTTTTTTTACTGTCGCAAGCAGTCGGAAGGCGACTCTCCATACAGTTCAAGGGTTATAACGGTTGCAAAAGATGCATTACCGAGTTTTGCGAAAAAAACGCGGACGAAGTGAGCTTGACACTCAGCAGCTGGCTCTGCAACAAAGTCGAATATTCTGAATAGGAGTTCATTCGAATACGAATTCGAATAAACATTCGAATAAAAACATAAAATCTATTCGAAACCCCGTTTTTTGATTATTCGAGTTTTCGATTAATATTCGAATTCTCGTTTATTAATTATTCGAGTTTTCGAATTTTATTCAAAACCCTGTTTTTTGATTATTCGAGTTTCGAATTTTATTCGAGACCCCGTTTTCTCAATTATTCGAGTTTCGAATATTATTCGAAAATGGAAGAACTCCGAATATCGAATTTCGAATACGAATATATTCGAATGTTTTATTCGAATGATCAAATTTCTATTCGATTCGGACCCAACTATTTTATGCAGGCCCCACCCCTGAGTGGCAAGGTCCGCCCACTTTTTGAAAATGCCGGAAGTTGCACGAATTCATTGATTTTGAGCAATTTCTGGCATTTTTGAAAAGTGGGCGGAGCTATCCCGCCCACTTGCATTTTTGTACCTCACGCATAGATGCATATCATCTCTTCTACGACTAGGAGACGCGTGACCGCATTGCGGACGTTGTCTTAACATGTTTGAGTTTGTTCTTCCCTGTTTCCAAAGAGTGAATAAACGTGGGCGAGACAGATGACAAGTATAAACTTGCTAAATACACGATTAGGCTTGTTTAGACAATGTGTGCAAAGCGGTCTCGCGTCTCCTAGTCCTAGAATGAATGATACATACATACATGCAGCCGGCTGTAAAAATGCCCGGAAACGGTCCGTCCACAGGGACAGACGTCGAAAAACAGGTCGTTGTCAACGTGTTAAGGTAAATCTTACCTCAGAATGCATTTAGTCCATATTCAAGAATGCTACCTCAAAGAAACATTTAACACAAGTTTACGAAAGTGGCTTATCAGGGAAAATTCACCCTAAGAGGGAACAAGAAATTTAACTTGAGACTTTATACAAACATAAAGTCATCTCTCAATGCACCATTCAGTCCTAACGATGGTGTTTGACAAAAAACACTATTTACGATTGGCCTGATTTCACGAGTAAAGCACTTTTTCATCTTTTCAAGCAAGCAGTAGGCCACAGCACCATGCCTCACAGAATAGTTGATCTCACAAACAATACTTTCACGCAATACTGTTGGGAGCAGCACGATAAGGGCTGGGTTCATACTGATTTCCATGTTCCGAAACTGTTCCCGCACAGTTCCCGCACTGTGCTGAGACTGTTTCGAAACTCTGCTGCATGCGCTGCAGCCGCCCCGCATGCGTTTTGAAAGCTGGAGAATTTTAATCGTTCAACGGGTTTTCGTCCAGATTTCTCTCATTTTGGCCTTATTCCTCTACCCCGCTTCTCTTTTTGATCGGCAGAATTTCGAACTCGAAGCGGGGCTGAAGAATGAGCGCTTTTCTGCTCTTAGAGACCTGTTTATGTCCCTTTCAATACAGATGCGAGACTACGCAGCGCCTTCTCAAAACACATGAAGTAAGCCTGAACAAAAATGGAAGAAAAGATGGATGAGGGCACGAAAGCCTCTCTTCCCGGATACATAAAGCAGAACAGCGTTTCCAACCTCGATCCAAGTTCGCAGCTTTTCTCATCAAAGGGGAGAAGAGGGGTAGAATAAAGAACGGAGAAACAACGATGAAGAAAAAGGAAAGGGAAAGGCTGAAAATGCCCAAAAATGAAAATTATCAGAAAACAAGAGAAAAGCCTCAATTTATGCAATTCCAGAATTGCCCGTACTCACTAATTTGTGGCAGATAAATATGGAAACTACGCAGCGGCTTATTGGAACGAATAGAATAGATCTGTGTCAAAATAAAGCGAAGAGAAAGTGGACGAGCACAAGAACACGCGTTTTTCGCATACGCAGAACAGAAAAGCGCTCATTCTTCAGCCCCGCTTCGAGTTCGAAGTTCTGCTGATCAAAAAGAGAAGCGTGATAGAGGAATAAGGCCAAAATAAGAGAAATCTGGACGAAAAACCGTTGGAAACAATTCTCTCGCCGTTCAAAACGCATGCGGGACGGCTGCAGCTCATGCAGCACAGTTCCGAAACAGTTCCAGCACAGTGCGGGAACTGTGCGGGAACAGTTTCGGAATATGGGAATCGATATGAACTCAGCCTTAGTCGTGAAATTTTTTTGGCGTGTTCAGGCTGGTCGAGTGCCTCTAAGGACAAAAGTTATCATAGTGGGTTGTTCCAAAACTTCTACCCGTTTTCGAAGTTCAACTTTGGTTCATCGTAATGCTTTCTGGAAAAATTACGAGTGAAAGAAAGTGTGTCAGAATGTACAAATTTCCAGCAGTCATATGTATCTTCAAAAAATATTGCTGCCACAAAGGCTTTCTAAGGAAATGATGAACATCCTCTAGGAACTTGAGAAACTATAACTTGATTCGAAGTCTTTTGAATTGCACAACCAATACTTAATGAGTGGTTGATAGCCGGGTGAGTAGCATCGCTGAACGTGAATCATGAAATGCATAACAAGAAAATTTTCACTCGCTATCTTTAGAGTGGCAAAAAATGCACTTTTTTGAAACTTTTTGCTTTTGTTCACCGCCGAAAATTGAGAAATTCCTTTATTTTTCTAGTGATAAATGTGAACCTTGTTTCATATGTAGAGCAAAAGTTCCGTGACTATTGCTTTTAAGACTTCTGTGCGACTCAAGCGGATTACAGCGGCAGATTATATTTAGGCTAAATATTTGTAGGTCCGAAATTCTCTGAAATTACATCAATAAGCATGTAACACAAGTCTGCAGCGCACGAGGGAGCTCCATGTAACAATTCTTACTTCGCTATCGCAAAGAAGTCTCGTTGAACAGCGGATGCTATCTCAGTTATTTTTTTGATGTTCGCCACATCAAAGCCTTTAGTTGGACATGCACTTTGTCTGAGTAAATTCTTGCAAAACAAGTTGTCATTTACTGAATTGGAGATTATTAATGCATGCAGCGAAGAAAAATCATGGATCATAGCAAGCCAAGTAGAATTTAGGAAGGGCTAATCAGGGGCTAACAAAGTACGCAAAAACTTATTCGTTCATCACAGTGGCGCAACAGCAGAAGAACAGAATTGTAAAAAGAAGCCAGTATACGTGGACTAAGGGATTTTGTGATGTGGGTTTCCACAGTTCACGCAAGACTAGCTTCTTCACCGAAAAAGCTTCAGTGAACACTCTGCTAACCACAGGGGTAAGTTCAACCCCCAAGCAGCTTTGAAATATCAAGCAATTCTTGAGAGGGGTGAACGAGCAAACTCAAGGGTGAAATTCCACCCTTAAGTTTGCTCTCAAGGGTATATTTTACCTTTAAGATTTAGCGACAGCGGCCTCAGGATTTTTTTTGTGTCAACCACAATCGCTACACCAATGCCTGTTTCCAATCTGCTCAAAATGTGAGAAAAGCATTTGTGGCCCAATGAAACAATAAGAATGCATTGCACTTCTAAATTAGTTCGATAGTGGATGATGTCATAGCTGCATTATCCGGATTTCATCCTGATCAAATCTGGCTCTGAGGAGAAAGGCAGCGCTTTGAGCAAAGTAGCAGCGACAAGCAGAAAGCTGTTCAAAGCAAAACAAGCAACGCATGCTGCAAATAATCCAATCGGTTCTGGTTCCAAGAAAGCCCGCAAGTCAAGCAGCAGCTCATTCATTATATGGGCGGCCAATTGACATGTTATAATAACAGCAGACGCTGCATGATGTTGATGACAAATCTTTGTTATTATCTGCGGGACGTCTTTTCATGAGGAGGCTATGAGCGTGGCTTCGGACAAAAATTTGAAGACGCTGCTGAGCACAACTGTTCAAAATGATCTTCTGGGTGCTCAAATCAGACAATGTATACGAGGTATTGAGAGAAAGTAAGGGTGGTCTGTTGTTCTGAACGGTTATATTGAAGCGGCACGTTCAAATTTTTGCCCCAAGGAATGTTCATGACTTTTTTAAAAAGGGTGTTATCGAACAATGATGATAAATTAATAATCAGTAGAATAATGTGCTAGTTTAAAAAGCATTCCGAATAAAAGGGTCTTCTGACTAATCGCAAACTTGATCTGAACGTGACGGGCGTGACTACGTAGCATCCTCAATTATCATCTGTCAACGTCTCCATCCAAATCTGGAGGGGAAAGCACATAGAAACTAATACTAGAGGCTAAGTGTCCAAGCGACAGCGGAGACGGTGCACTTACGGCTGAAATGTTCAGCCTCAAACGAGGTTCTGCTACCGTATCTGGCGAACGATTGCTCGATCTGCATGCCATTGCATTTTGATTGTTCGCGCTGAATTATACAAACTGCAAGAAGCCCGCCAAATACGATAGCGAGAAGAAGAGTTTAGACTTTGCATGTGAACAATATTCTACGCCTGACCTTCCCAATCAGAATCTACAGTCTTGTGAGAATATATAAACGGCTATGGCAGTAGTCACAGAAATGTGCCTTTGTAATTGTTTGTTGAGCTTATCGTTAGTGACAATGTTGGGGACATTGGTCGTAAATAAAAAACACGTACAAGGACAGAGAAGGCATATGGATCATAGCACCAAGTTCAGTGCCGTTGGCATTTTGGTAACCTAAATTAATGCTCTCCAACATTCGTTACGACTGGATATAGTAAGAATACCGGAGCATAAATTGCACCCCAGGCGAAACCCGAAAGCAAGCCTTTAGAAGAACCACGAGATTTTATTAGGTTGGAAACTAAGTTTTGCAACTGGTCTCATAACTTCTCTCTCACTCAACATGGCGCACTCAAATTTTGCCACTGCGTTGGTTCTTACGTAAGCTACAAGCGCAGCTGCTGTCCTACCAAATTCTGACGTCGCAGTGAGGGTTACGGTAGGTGCATGGTATGAAGGAAACAAATTCAAAGTTTGACGGACTTGGCTGAAACTTGGCACAGGGGTGTTATCCGACATGCTGATCACGAAAACGATAGTGAAATTGTGTGATAAGGGCTTTTTTGTAGGATTACTGTAGGTGTACGATGTGGGGTCTCACCCTAAACAAGAAAAATGGTGTTGATTCAACAAATGAATGTGATATTCGCGTTTGGCAGGTCAAAAAACCTTACTATGCAAAGTCTCGGCGGAATTTGAGCTTCGGACCCTTTAGTCATTGACGGTCGTCCCCAGCAGCTCTTGCGTACATCGACTCGTTTGACTTTATGAGGACGCCAAATCTCGACATGTCATTAAATTTTGTTTCTTTCTTGATAGGCCAAAGGAGTCAACCTCCAGCAATAATTTATAGACGAATCCGGATTTCTGTGCATGGTCTAGGCTGCCAAAGGCTTCATTTTAGCTTCAAACCCCAAAAACTCTCAAATTTCACTAATTTTCGAAAAACGCCTGAAACTTTTCTATTTCGTGTCAAAATCTAGACAAGTTGTGCTCACTTGTAGCTCACATCGCATTCTACATAATGCCAAAGTTTGAGTGCGCCATGTTAAATGAGAGCGAAGTTATGAAACCAGTTGCAAAACTTAGTTTCCAGCCTAATATCTACTTGTGGCTGTTTACCAGATGATGTGGAATGTACAGAAGTATATCGCTGCGTTGTCAATCATCCAACCTGAGAACAATAAAACGTACTAGCTCGAACTGAGATAGTCTTCGATTTAAGAGGCATGCAGCCAACCGGCTGAGTACTGTGCACAGTATGTAAAAAATGGATGTACTACAGATAACTCCTTTTATAGTTTTGCTACAATGCTTATCGAACAATTAGCCTTTGTTGTAGAATAATTTTCCGCTTTTCCTTGATGCAAAGCGGCTGAAAACCTATTCCTTCACAAGCAAGCTGATATGCTCGCAAAGAATGACTTGAAAGTCAAAGACCTAGATTTTGCATCTTCACCTCAAAAGAATGACTTGTTGCAGTTGTAGGAGACAGCTAGAAGGACTCAGGTACATAGCTTGATGCTAGCCATTCTAAAGCGGAACTGTGACAGTCCACCTGGGAGCCACGGGAAAACGCTTCAGTCATTGGATTCAGCCGCTTAGAACAACTAATCGCTTCTTTTGAAAATTTATTATGTGTGTGCTTTGAAAAACACTTGACTTCAGCTTATTCCCTGAGGATCCGGATGCACTCCACGCGATTTCACCCGCCACGTGATCCGGCAATCTGACGAATGCCTTCAAGTTACGTATTTAACCTTTCTGGTAATATGCCTTAGCTTATTTATATCAGAATGCGCTCACTATGAACTGAAAACAATTGGAGCATTACCGAAATGCTCGAATAAAATCGCTTGAATTATGCTTAAGGTCTAAGAAATATGGCAACAAACACCTCGGTACAAAAAACTCGGGCTTTTGTGTTCCTGACGGGCAGCTGTCCCATTCTAAATCATGAGGTAACGTAAGAGCGTAAGAGCTACGTACGTAAGAGCTCTATCCAAAACAAAGGTGTTTTTTGTACCGAGATCCGACCAAGCTGCAGTCAACAACTTAGACTCCACGGATCCGAATTGCTCAAACGAAGAATTTCGTGAGTCATAATCGGACCTAGAATGGGTAGCATCATCATTAACACAAAATAACTTTACATGCAATGGCGACTCACCAACACAATTGATAAAAACCAAAACGGCCCGCTTAGAAGCGCCTTTCTGCAAAATGATAGGTACGGGGATTTGACATCGCCGCGATGGTAGATCCCCAACTAATCTACCAGTGAATCTGGAGGGAAACGCGTCTGGAAAGCCTAAAATTTGCTCTGAATCTTTTGGACCCCGTCCCTTCGTCGGACCCCGCCCACTTGCACGTAATGAGCGAACGCCAACTTAGAGAACTTCGAAGTTTTATGCCTTTTGCAAGTTTCGATTTTAACATTTTATCATTCATCATTTTTAAGTGTCCAAAATTACATTTTAGGTAAGGCATTATGTTTGCACACTTCTTTTTCGCGGAGCTGCAGAGCAATTTATTGCTAAAAGGAGCGCTGTCTTCATGATCATGATCCTACAGCGTGCGAAAGAGAACGATTCTATCAGACCTGATAAGTAGCCCTCCCCTTAGTATTTCCATTTTTTTACTCCTAAGGTTCGAATTCTAGTAAAAGTGAATGTCTGTTTTTCTCTTCCTTGTCGGTTTTTTGTGTAAAAAGTATCACATTTCTGTTTTCGGTAGTGATTGATTGGTAAGCCATTGATTACAGGCGTTTGGAACTAACACTATCTTTCTTAAAGAGATGAAATCGTATCGCTGCTGCAAACTACAAACATAGGCGATCACGAACTGGACCAGCTGAGAGTTGCGGCCATGCAAATGGCTGCTGCTGTAGCAACTCAGTTGGTGCCACCAATAGCTCTGGCGCGTTAGATCAGAATGCGCAGGTTTTCTGTGATTTTTCGATTCCTCATTCAAGCTGACCGTTTAGGCAACCTAGTGTTAAGTTTATCCCTACTCGAGTCGGTTCGCGACGTATTGAGGATGACGATCTAGCATTGAAAGCTGCTCTAGATCTTAAACAAATTGCTTGATCCCTCTATCCAAAGAATGTACAAGTAAGTTCATTTTTTTTGAAATTTTGCGTTCGTTGAATTGTTAATGGATCGGAGTTGATTCAAGTTGTTATGACAGTGGTTACCTTTTATTGACTAAAGATCTTTGACTTTAGATGGGATTATCGAATGCCGCATACTTTCTTAAGCGAGACCCTGTTTACTTGAAGTACGGACAACGAGGACAGCGACCATGTCCCATGCGGATACGGGTGAACGAAGCTGGAATCGTGCAGAGTGCTGGTGGTCTCAAACAGTAGGGCACGAGCGAAATTTTGTCAGGTAGGAGCATTGACTTGGTTGGTGGTTGATTTGGGGGGACGGGGTTGAATGCAAAATCACGAGCTTTCCCACACCTACTCTTGTATAGAAAAAGTGTCTTCTTGGATAAGCGAACATATTTAAGGTGATATCCTCGAATGTTGCTTGGAAAGCAGCTTTGCGTGTTAGCGACACTGCTATAGAGCGGAAGAGCAATGTGAAAGGCATAAAATGGTAAGCCACAACTTTTTCGTTTTTTATTCTATTTTATTTGATTTTTAACTTATTCATTCGTTATTCGTTCAACTCTTTGCATCGGGTTACTACAAGTACATATGTTCGCTGTTTTTACTATAATTAAGCTGATTCTGACATTATCCAGTGCTCCAGCTGTTGCAAAAGAGGGTGGTATAGGAGCATAGAAAGGGAAGAAAGTTACTGTAATGTGCTGTTGATACGTAGCCGACGTTGTAATACTTTGTATTTTGATGGAAAGCAGTTTATCAACTTTCTAAACCTGGAAAGCTTTTTTGGTGTTACGTCGTTGTGTTTTCTTACCAAAGTACTTGCACTCAGAATTTAACACGTTGACGACAGTGCCGCGCAATGGTGCGCGGCAGGCAGTCTGTCCCTGTGGACGACGCCGCGCAATGGTGCGCGGCGGCCTTAATATCAATACTATCTGTCCAATCCTCTTAGTTTTTGTCCATATAATCAACATAGGCTCAGATATACTTCATATATCAGCTCCGCCCCTTTTGGCAAACTCCGCCCACTCCTATGCCTCCCACAAGAGAAATTTTTGTTCATAAAAAGCATGGATGAAGCGGTAAATGAACGCAAAGACTTCAAACAACTTTCAGCCAGGCTCCGCGCACCTTCAGGCAAGCTCCGCCTCCTAAGTGGCAAGCTCCACCCCCTAATTGGCAAGCCCCGCCCACTTTTCAAAAATGCCGGAATTTGCACGAATTCATTGATTTTGGGCAATTTCCAGCATTTTTGAAAAGTGGGCGGGGCTTGCCAAAAGTGGGCGGAACCGCCCCGCCCACCTGCATTTTTGTATCTCACGCATAGATGCATGCATACATACATGCAGTCAGCTGTGAAAGTGCGGGGAAACGGTTCGTCCACAGGGACAGACCTTCAAAAAATGGCTCGTCGTCAACGTGTTAAGCTAATGCGTTCTCTTCTGAGTGGAAGACAGAAGGATGTTACGAAGATTTGTTGGTATCGCCGGATCATAATGTGTCTGCTCAGATAATCGCCTGCGGCAGGCGGTCCGCAAACTCGCGCTTTTCTGCAAGCGGTCAGCAGAATTTGAGGCGTGGCCAAACCTTCAGCGAGCGGTACTTCCTTTACTGTCTAATGTTCTGCCAACGGGCAGCAGTATAGCATTTTTTGCAGGCGTTCAGCAAATAATTTCTTTCAGCAAGAGCTGGCCAAACTTTCAGCAGGCGCTCGGACTCTTTTTACGCAGTTTCGGACTTACGTCGAGCACAGGTAAGACTCTATGTGGCAGAGGTGTCAGTGTTGGTTTGAGTACTCAAACTAACTATGACAACTAAAAAACTACTATGAGGTACGTTCTCTCAGCGGAATGTACCTGGGGGCTGCGCGGTCCTCAAATATTTTGCATATTCTCGCGAAAAGTCCGCGAGAATGCGGCCACTGCTCCGCAGCTAATCTATAAGGAAACTGCGATCATTCTCCAAGCATTCGTCTAGAATTTCGTTAAAATTTTTAAAATATCTGCAAGCGGACCGCAAGAAATTAGCGAACTATTTTTCCGGTGCCCGCCCGCCCATGAATCGCATGGCCGCCTGCCCCCGGCGATTGTCTGAGTGGGTGATAAGTCCACTGGTGAAGCAACAGAAAATGTCAAAATACGCTGAGTTACTTCTGCGAGCAGTACCAGCTGATGCTCGGTATGACACTACCATTCAAACAGTCGGCATAAAAGTCAGAACCTAAGCTTTTTGCTTTTAGCTCTTATTCCATTTTTTACGGGCACGGGTGGGGGGGGAGGGTTGATCTAGATTTAAAGCGAGCCATCAGCAAGAGTTCTTCTCCTCATGACCGAAAACGATGTTGAGATTGCTAATGCCCCGGCAAAAAAAGCAGCTTTTGTGGACTACGAACTGCCGAAAGTGCATTTGTGTAAGTCACATGTCTTATTCAAGTAGAAAAATGACAACTAATAGCAACTTGTATACAAAGGAGCCATCTACTACGCGTCCACCATCGCCAGTGGAAGACGAAACTTGCAGAGCTAAACTGCTGCACCAATTGTCTACGGTGCGTCCACATTGCCACGATAGTTCCTATTGTACCATGAATATTGCAATTCGAGAGCGAAACTGACGACGAAGAGTTGGTCTCGCCGCCTAAAAAAGTCGCATTCAACGGGCAGTTGGATGAACATAATGAAATGCTTCGTGTAAGTAGATGCAATCCTCGTGAAAATTTCAACTGTTTTGTTGTGGTTCCAACGTTTGGTACTGAAAAAAACAATATGCGATGTGTACAAAATGGATGCACTTTTGGATAAGAATCCAATCAGACTTGAAATCGTTGGAGATGGACGCGGTCGACATATCGGGGATCATTATTCAAATGCAACTTCTACGTTAGGCCCCGGGCAGACTTCACGCGATTTGATCGTCGCGATCTAAACGCCAGGATTTCCATTCATTTTCATTTCACATTCAAAAATTTCGGGCTGGAAAAGTATCACAACCGAAATGCAAGTTGATCGGCATGGAATGATGTTGTAACAGTTGTCTCCTCGCGATTCAGTCGCGACGATCAAATCGCGTGAAGTCTGCCCGGGGCCTTAGGCAGAGATCCTAACGTTAAGGAC